TCCTATATATATATATATATATATATATATATATATATATATATATATTTCGTCCCTTGCCTAATTACGCGTGTTACATAATCCCTGCCTGTGTGTTGGCTGCTTGTCGCTTAATTAAAACCACGCCTTTATTTACACGGAGGAGGAGGCGATCGTGGCCGGTGTAAACGCGGTGTACCGTATTCCCTTGCCCACGATCCACCGGATCGATACTGGACAGAGACCGGGTATATCCGTCGATCTCGGATCGTGCTCGGATCTCGCTCGTATCTCGAGATGTTCGTTCAATCGCGGCTACCCTTTAATTCCTACGTTTGTCCGTGCTCGTTTCCTCGTAATATCTGTTAGAGGAAGATAAACGTGCCGCGCTTACGGCATCATTGTCGAGGTGTATATAGACGTGTATAGGGATAGGGGGCAATCTCGATCGAGAGGATATCGGATCTCGAGTAGTTTTACATTCTCTTGATTATTGACGTTAGAATCGGTTGGAAAGGGGGGGGATGAATTGGAAATTTGCGATTCATTAATTTTTAAATTTAATCTTTCCTTGGACTTTTAACGTAACGGTATTTGATGTACATTGCGTGGGAAAAAAAGATAACCTTTGGCCTTTTTCAAGTTATTCGATAATTGTTGCGCAATACAATTTCCAGTTAGTGGTATATTGTTGGAACGATAATAAGCAAAATATGCTTAATAGTATTGCGTGTATAAGTGGTATTGTTTTTTTTTTTTTGAGGCAAAAATGATATGGAAAAATTTGATATTTTTCGTTAAGAGAAAAAGAAGAATAGATTTGTCTAATTGTCCGAAGCGGGACAAATTTTCACTGCTCGCGCGACTCGTTTCTTGCGAATCTTCGAAATTTAATCCGGGCAAGAGATTTACAGCGTTGTCCCTGCGCGAATGGATTCCAGAAATCCGGGATTTATCTCCGGTGGAGGGGTGACCGTGGAGATTCCGTGCTCGTTTTCAAACGCAACGCGAAGAAAGATCGATCGTGGTAGAGCGACGATTGGATTTTTGTAAACGAGTCGTTGTTGGATTAATGAAGCGCGTGGAAATTTTGGGGAAAAAAAGATCGTGCGTATTTTATCGTGGATGTAAAAAAATATTTTTTGATCCTTATTCTTCTTTAAATTTCATTCGCGCGTTTATCGATTGATCGAGAAAAACGAAATAGGGAAATAAAAGAATGAAACATAGAAAATAGGAAGGAGGAGAATTTATAGAGGGAAGATTGTGAATTTGTGGCTATGGTTTGTTTAAGCTGTAACGCAAAGGAAAAATAAAAAACACAGTCCAGGCCACGCGATTCCTTGTCTCGATCGGTAAATGCAATTGCTCGCGCAATTAGCCACGATGCGCGATGGATGGAATCGCGGCTGTGTAATTTTGAGGTAAACACGGAGCGCTGTTCTCGGAAATTATCCTCATTCGTCGTGGAATTAATTTCGATTGCGCCACTCGAGGGCATCCACTCCACGCTTTCGATCCTTTACACGGAAAAATATCTCAAAGGAGGGGGAGTTTTGGAGGGAGGAAGAGGAGAAACATTCTAGAACCATTTCTCGTCTGCAGCAAGCAGTTCCACTTACGACTTCCATTATACCGCTATGCTAATCGTTATTATGGCAGGTGGTTGCGTAACTATAATTATCGTACCGCGAGAAGAAACGTTGTTCCGTTTAGTCGTGTGGCACGATCGCACGTGATCTTTTGTTTCGTGGATACGTTTTCAAGAGGTCCGTGAACCTTTCGTACAATAACGTGTCTGACACGTTTGTTCTTTTTCGAAACTTCTCCAAAAGGACAATATTCACGCAAGGCAATTCCGAGGAATACGCGCGTAGAACAATTTTCTCGAGTTTTTTCTTCCTTTTTTTTTTTTTTCATCGTTTCGAAACAATAATTCATTTCGGGAGAAGAGTTCGTTCGAAGAAACTCGTGCCTCTTCGCGGTACGAACAACTGCGTAGAATGAACAACTGCGCCTTTCGAAACCAGTTTTTCATTGGACCGTGCCAGCCGATCGTTCGCGATACAATTGTTCGGAGGCAAATATCCGCGACTAATCGAACTGTGTCATCGTGCGATTTACGATGTGTGCAGAGGTGTGCGTAAGCGACTCGTGCGCTCTGATTCCTCGAGGATTCGCGTGTCCGCCTTTTTAATGACAACGTTTTAATATCAACGTTCTATTTTTTTCTTTTCCTTTTCATCTCGTTTCGTAATTGTCGTCGCCCAACGAATGGACGCGCGATCCACTTCATTTACTCTCGACGACACGAATTCTTCTTAATATTATAATATTAACGATTAGAATTTGGAACAGAGAACACAACAGGCAATGATTTCCCGTTCGATTATTACAAAAAGTGAATTTCGTGGAATTTTCACGGATCGCTGTTTTATCCGACGCTGTTTTATTCTTTCTTTAGGGTGCTAGATTCCGGGATACCTCGCAGCAAATCCATAAGCAATGGCAGGCGGATCCGGCACGAGCGTTTCCAACAATTGGCACCGTCACCACAGGCTCGATCTCGCCGACGTCGGGCGAAATTTCAACCCCGAATTCGACGCCCAGCCCAAGCCCTAGCCCCACCAACAGTCAACAAGTCGCGGTAAGTAGCTCTGACCTTCCTCTCCTTATCGATTTCCTCTTGCCCGTCAAACTATTTGAGAGGGCGGCGAATTTGAGTGCCGCGATGAATGAAATCGTGACCAGGATCGACGATACAGAAAATACCGAAATTTGGCGCGAAACGAGGGAAACGATGGTCGGTTTGCGATTCGTTTGAACGAATAGCAATGACGAAATTCTTGAAAGTGTTAATGGATTTCTTCTGGGTCTGTTAATTCCCTCGAATCTTGTAAAAATTTAATTCAAATTACGAAGTGTACAATTTTTTGAAGCGCGATCAATTTTTTAAGAAGAATTTTAAAATTTGTTTAGTTATTCTATAAAATATAGATCGTTAGGATTTAATTTTTTAAAAATTATTTCACGAGAGACGGGAAGTTGTTCATATATATATATATATATTTGCAAAAGAATTTGATACGACGAAGAATCGTGTAAAATAGAGTTTCGAGACGATCCAAAAATCCATGCTTTTCTCGAGAGCCGGTAAGGTTTCACCTGTCTCATACGACGAAATCTCGATATATATATATATACACCTCTTCCGGGCGTAAATCTCCGGCTGGTGGCGATACGACATTAGATATAGGAACGTCGAATATTCTCGAGGGATATATATCAACAGGATACTATCGTGGATCAAGACTCGAGTTAGCACTTTTCTACGTTATGTCAGCTTTACGTTATATCAAGAATCGACAGAACTCGTGACAAAATTACGGATAGAAATAAATTAATAGTGTAATAAAATTTCAAACTTCTATCACGATCGAATATATTTTAATATCAAATCGACAAATTTCAAGAAGCAGTTGATTAAACTACAAAAATCTGTCACGAGAGACAGATCTCAGGAAGCGCACGATATTCAACGAATTCTCTATTTCTAGCATCGCTTTACAGAATTCTATTTGAAGATAACGCGCATCCTGCGTAGTGGTGCGTAGATACATAGGTACATCTGGACGCGCGCAGATACAAATATAAATGCGCATCATTGCTCCCCGATGATTCTATCGACTTCCGTGCCCGTACCGACCAATCGAAATTGCAATCGAGACGAGGATTTCAAACCCTTTGCCATTGTACTTTGGTAAATCTGCGCGTGAAGTTTGATTCCGGCGAGTTTTCGACGAGAGAAATTACTCTCTCGTTGAAATTGATATACGGAAAATAATACCCTTTTTTTTATTTCATATAAAAAGAAAATAATAATACGCTTGATACTTAAGCGAGAAAAATAGAAGATGATTCGATTCTAAGCTATCCACTTTAAAAATTGAACGATTCAGTCGTGTTCGTGTCGCAATCGTGTTCAACGATACGATCTTGTTTTTCATCCGCGGGGATCATTCTCGGTTACGCGTGAAATGATATGACGGAGGCAGCTTCATATTTTCGATGACATCAACATCAACAATTTGTACCGTTACATATATATATACAGGGATCGTCGATGATCCCATCCTTATTTTTTGCCCGGCTGACCTAATTAAGCAATTACGAGGGGAGGGGGCCAATGGATCACTGAATCGTGCAACGAATTCCGGCCGTTGAAACGAAACCGCAACGATGTATACACGGCGATTAAACAACCATCCATTCGGAATCGTCCAATTGGTGTAAAGTCCAATTGGATTATCGAGGGTCGTCCAGTTGCACGTTAGCCAGACATTATTATCGCGTTTAATGCCGATTAACCGATGCGCCGCGCCGCTTCGTCGCGCCACGTCGCAGAATCATTTTCAGATCGTCGAAACGTTGTAATTCGCCTAATTCGGATCCGTGTAATCGTGATCGACCGATCGGGATCGAGGAATCGAACATCTTTTAAAGGAGGAAATGGATGAATAGAGATTTTCTGTGTGTTTTTCGAGCACGGATTTTTTTCAAAATTCGAAAGAAAAAATTTTGGGACGATGATTGATGGAGAATCGATTGTTGGAAAACGGAATGCATACAAAGAAACGCATGCAAAATACAATACCACAAAATTTCACATCGAATACATCGAATTCTACGTTTCTTTTTCAAACGATATCCCTCGAAGAATGTAATCGGCGTAAACGTTCTGTGACTATCGGTCGAGCAATCAACCGCATTAAAGATCCCCCTTTGACGAGAAATCAGGACTCGATTTACCAATCCTCTAATATGCAAAGAAGCGTGTGTACCATTCCCATGATTTAAGCGAGTTCCGCGAGCCAGTTATCTTCATCGTTACAGGGTTCTTACAGGGTTACGATTTCTTAAACGCTTTTTATCCACGCAAAAGATCCTTTCGTCGCGGTTAATTAAACCCGCGAGAAGGTTTCCTCCACGCGAACCGAACGATCGGTCAGCCTTTCGATAATTAACGTCTTAATCGGCCAGTAGGCAATTAGTAACAACATATCGCCTTTTGAACCCGCGTGTAAACTAGGATACGATCGTTGCACGTATACAGCCTGATACAGCCTGGACTGTACCCAGGCGAATTGATAATGCCGACTGTACACGCGGGTACATTAACCGACAATGTGATCGCAATCTGGTGGATTCTCAAAGTTCTCAAGGAATACGAGATTGATTTGTAAAAAGAGAAAGAAGATATTTTACGAGAAATTTATAAAGAAATCCAAATTCCAACTTTCGTAATTTCGAGCGTCATCGATTGAGAATCGCTAGAAATCAATTTTTCCGACGATTCCATTTTATTTTAAGAGTAAAGTTTGATTTTGAAGGTACGTTACTCCCGGCACGAATTCCAGTCTTCCGGTCTATTACACGCAGTTTCACGATGCGAAATTTCGATAAGATTTCGTTCGAGTCTCGTGCTCTTCTAAGAGATCTAAAAGATGGAAGGAGGGGGGGAAGAAATGTTTGTTTCGTGAATTTCGTGGAGAGGTTGCCGCTTTCGGCTGTTTGGCTATGGCGACGAGCAAGGAAACGGGAGTCACGAGGTCAAGAGGGCCTCGAGTCGAAAGAAAAAAAAAAAGAAAGAAAGAAAAAAGAGGCCGCAGGTCCTTGAGAGTCCTGCAGCTGCCAGTCGTCATCGGTTCATTGAACGCAGGAAACCGTCGCGCGTGTACCACGTCTTGACCGTTTAGTGCTTGCAGAGGGGGTTAGGAAATAGGGTTGAGGTCGTTAAAGTGTTGACGGCGAAAGACGCGGTTCGCAGCTGGGCACGAGCACCTTATTCTTCTTTTCTTTCTTTTTTTTTTTCTTTTTCCTTTTTTCTCGCTTTAGCATTTCTTCGAGGAGTATATACGGGTGTGTGTATATACACGTTGTCGTGACATGTCACAATAATGTGATCATTTGACGGGTTGTTAAGTGGATGGTTTGAGAGACAAATTGGTTGTCTTGTCGAAGACAAAGGAGTAGCAATCTTACACAACATTTGATCTTTCGAGCACAAATTAATCTTCGGTTTAGTAACAGAATAATAATGAAATTTTATTATGATTAATTTCAACATTAATTCTGGAAACAGATTGTTACGAGGTAGGACAGTATATATTTATATCTATAAAGTATAAAAAAATTTTATTATACACATCTATAAACAATATTAAGAAATATCCTCATTTATTTATTCGTACTCTCGCCAGTATCCCGAGTTCAAATCATCCTTTTGTGCGGCTATCTTTTATGGGGCGCGGATACAGATACGACCGATAGAATTTCGAAAATTGACGAATGCAAATTGAGTAAACCCATGTGACGAGAGTCAGAGGTCGGTAGACAGAGAGCGGTCTTGTTCGGCCTTTTACGCGCAACGCTTTCTGCATTTTCGATGCAATTAATCTCGCGTGTGGCCCGTGTACCAATGATCGCGTACGAATTCGCGTCAAGGCGGTTGAAACACGCCGCGCCATTCAAGTTGTTGCATCACGCCGAGCATTAATCTTATTTAACTTAATTGCACGGGTTGCTTTGTGCGCGGGCAAACGCGCTGCAAACGAAATTTTGCTCGCGCTCGCGTAACATTGCTTCCTTACCGAGAAGAGATACAACGCTTCCAATTATTAGAGAATCAATCAATCACCACGATCCTCGTCTATTCCTCGAAATCGTTGCTTACCCTATCCGATCGATTTAATTTAATAAGGGGAAAAGTGAATTTTCATCTTGCTTCGAGTGAAATCAATGATGTATCCAGATTTATTTAAAACCGTTCTTTCCTCCGTTTTTTTCAACATTTCCTGCGAAAATTTTCATTAAATATAATAAGTTGAGGCAAGAGAGATGTTTCTCGGTTGATTAAATTTCCACGATGTTTATCGATTTACGCACTTTGTTGCATTTGCGGTTTTGTCCGATTATTTTCTGCAAATAGATTAAAAACATTGGGGACAAAAATTATGTACAAAACGGACGCCTGTAATGCTGTATCCACTTAAGAAAACACAACGCGGTCTTGAAAGGGCATAATCGAGGCTGTTCAAGAGCTGTGTACTCCATCGAGAGACGTTTTCCAAGCCACCGCTGTTTTCCTTTCGCCACCGAGATACGAGTGCATCTGCCGCGTAAATCGGAACGGATTTATTTACGGTTCGAAAGGGGTAGCTGGCTTGGATCTTTGGCGACAGAGGGAAAAAGGGAAGTGGCCACTTTTACATCACACACACACATACAATCTCCAATCTCATCCCCCGTTCCGGAACCTTCCAACCTCTGACTTCCGGTTAAATTTAGACGCGCCACGCGTCTCAGACGAGCAACGATCTCCCCGAATTACGAGTTTGATCGAGGAATTCACGCGAAACTAACCATAAACTCGATAAAGAAAAGAGATGGCAAGGAATTGGAAACCAAAAAAAATTAAATGGATCCGTTATACGAGCGATTTCTCAGGATTGATTCAAGAATTCAAGGTGTCTCATAAAAAGATTGGAACGATTTCCGGGTTCGTCCTTCGCTCGATTCGAAAATTATCTTATCGACGAGAGTTTCTTCTTCGAGCTTGATCTATTTTTAAACAGGGATCCTGAAACT